AGTGCTCTGTCTGCATGTATGCCAGCGAGAGCTTCAGATCTCATTATAGATGGTTGTGAGCCACCATGTGGTTGCTGGGAATTGAACTCAGAACTTTTGGAAGAGCAGCCAGTGCTCTTAACCACTGAGCCATCTCTCCAGACCTCAAAAAAATTTATTAAATGTAATCATTTTTGGTTTGTCTGTTCTTTAAGACAGGGTCTCTCTCTATAGCCTGGTTGTACTGGAACTCACTCTATAAAACAGGTTGGCCTTGAACTCACAGAGATCTGCCGACGTCTGCCTCCCAAGTGCTGAGATTAAAGGCATGTGATACTACTGCCTGGCCTAAACATAATAATTTTTAAAGATAAAATTAAGGGCTGAGCGGTGGTGGTGCACACCTTTAATCCCAGCACTCAAGAGGCAGAGGCAGGCAGATCTCTGTGAGTTTGAGGCCAGCCTGGTCTACAGAGCGAGATCTAGGACAGGCACCAAAACTACACAGAGAAACTCTGTCTTGAAAAACCAAAAAAAAAAAAAAAAAAAAAAAAGATAAAATTAAGGTAGAATTACTAGGTCAAAGATGCACATTTGAATTCTTATAGATACTTTCAAAGTGTCCTTTAAATGGGGTATACCAATTAACCCTCTGTGGTGACACAGGGAAGTAGATAATGTTCCATTAAACCCACTCTATCCAGGTTTTCCACTCACCAAGACACTGAAATTACAGTTTCCACAAATGACCTTGCTCTTGCTAAATGTAATGGTCACTTTGTACCACATGTATTCAGAATGCCCAAGGTGGCCAGAAGAAGGTGTTGGGTCCCCTAGAACTGGAGTTATAAAAGGTTATGAGCAGCCATGTGGGTACTGGGACTTGAACTTGGGTCCTCTGAAGAGCAACAAGTGCTCTTAACTGTTGAACCATCTCTCTGGCCCTCGGCCCCTTTTTAAAAAGACATGGTCTCACTGTGTAGCTGAAAGTGAACTGAAACTCACTGTGGAGACCAGGTTGCCTTTGAACTCACAAAGATCCACCTGTCTCTGCCTTCCAAATTCTGGGATTAAATGTGTGCACCACCATGCCGTGTATTTTAATTTCGAAAAAAAATGATCTGCCAATTCTGTACATGTATATAATGTATTTTGGTCCCTCACAATTCCTGTCACCACCCCCCTCCCCTGCTGAACCCCTCCTTCTTCTCAGTGAGTTCCCCCTTACTCTTATGCCTTTTATTTGTTTGGTGGTATTATTATTATTAGTGTGCGTGCGTGCGTGCGTGCGTGCGTGTGAACACGCACATCCTATAGTACTTGTGTGAAGACCAGAAGACTACTCTGTGAAGTGGCTTCTTCTCCTTCCTTCCCCTTTAGGTGGGTTCCAGGATCTGAACTCAGGCCACTGCCATCCCGTTTTTGGTGAGAGTTGCTGTTGTTGCGTAGGTGGGGATTATTTACTAGAATACGGGTAACTTACTAGCGGCCACACTGAAGAAAATAACTCCTCCTCCCCAGGCAGCCATGCAGGCTCCCCAAGCCCCTCACACTCTGCTCAGTTTTCTGTGATTTTAAAACTGCTCAGAAAGCCGAGAGTGGCAGCACACGCCTTTACTCCCAGCACTAGAGAGGCGGAGACAGAGAGATCTCTGTGAGTTCTAGGACAGCCTGCTCTACATAGGGAGTTCCAGGACAGCCAGGGCTATGTAGAGAGACCCTGTCTCAAAACAAGCAAACAAGCAAACAAACAAACACCCCTGCTCAGAAAAAGGGTCTGTGAATCAGAAGGAAAGAAGAAGTAAGAGGTAAGTGACTGTGGTAAAGGCCTGGGGATCCAGACCAAATCCCATTAGTTCTGAGGTTAATTTGCTGGAATTTCATTGTCTGGCCCCAGTGTCAGCAACAGGCCTGGATTCCAAGGCTTCTAGTGAAGTCTGAACACAGCAAGCTAAATGGGTTGTCAGCACAGGTCATCAGACACTCCCCGACACACACCCAGAAGTCACCCCCGTTCAGACTGCCAGGCACATACATAAATG